CCCCTACAGACACGCACGCGCGCACACACACACACACACACACACACACACACAGACAGAGAAATAAAAACACAAATCCAAAGGGAAACATTCTTTAGGTCCTCAACGCTGTATATGACTTTAGAGATAAAGAGGACAGGTACGTACCTGATGATTTGTCCCTCCTCCTCAGGAGTACCAGGCCTGAGCCCCAGGACTATGTGGCACACCTGGACCAAGAAAAACACACAGATATGCACAAAACAAATAATGATGAATAAATACCGTGTTTCAATTTCAACATCCGGACAAGATGTGCAACTACAGTATGTGGGTGTACTGACCTGGAAAAGCAGGTTTAAGAACTCATTGGCTAAAGCGCTCTTTACACTCCAGATCTGATAGTCCTCCAGGGTCAGGTGACCCAGCTGGTGAGGAATAAAAACAAAACAAAACACAAAGGTCAGTATTACTCAGATTCACTATTCTCAAAGTATACACTGAGTTCATCTGCTACAGTTATTGTGAGTAAAAATAGCTTAGAGGTAAGACAAGAAGACAGGAGACTAGAAGGTTGCTGTGGGTCTACAGGGCAGCTTCCTGAGTATGTGGAACTATATGAATGCAGGTTGAAGCTGGAGTTGAGTGTCAAGTAGTTCTTACTTTCTCTAAATCAAGGTTATAAAATCAAATTATATTATGGGACAGAAGTCAAAGGATTAACTTCCTGGCAGCTACATCAATAACGATTCTGTCACCAGGAGTTGTGTCTCACCTTGGTTGTGTCGTGCATCTTCAGGATGCCCTCTACTATGTCTGACACGCTACTCTGCAGCTCCTGCAAGGTAACAAAATATATTAGCATTAAGTAGCGAACACCAAGCATTTTTAGACTTTGTTTCTGAAATTATACAACATATACAAAAGGTTTACTGGGCTCAAACATAAAAAAACGATAAAAGGAGAATGTGACCTTCAATGTCAGTTAGACACATGTAAGCAACATGACGAGAGTCATGACGTGACAACTTATTAAATAAGGGTTTGATGTTTAGTACAAGACGATGACGGCCTTAGTCCACATAGAGTGAATACCTACATCTATGTTCAGTGTGTGCTTGTGAACTTACAGGGAGTGTGTCAGTGCGATTGTCCTTCCACACCTCCAGCAAGGCCACCACCATTTCATGGAGTTCATCTCGAGACAGAATGCCATCTCGGTCCACATCAAACACTTTGAAACAAACTGGCAGTGAAAGAGAGAGATGAGGTGGTGAAATACAGATATGGTTATAAAGCACAACGCTGCTCTCCGCTGCCTGGAAACCCAGCACCATGCTGTTTAGTCTATTAGCAGTAAATCCAATACGTTTCCATTTCTGCAAATGTAATTTCAGGCACCAATGAGAACTCTGAACAGTGATTGTGCACTAATGACCTACAGAACCAATCAACACTTTCCAGAAACAGTCATTCGACAACTTACATTCAAACTCCAGATAACAGCTACAAAGAAGAAACAGACTGCGTTTCTTACGATAAAAAGGCTTGATCTGACTATGTGAAGCCTCTGGGGTTTATTTATCAGTAATTATATCAAACCACAGCATGGCTTACATTTCTGCCTTTCAGCAACAGGCCCCCTGCAGCACGCTGAGAGTCCACAAGAGATCTCTTTAAAGTCGATGTGATTGTCCCGATTCTCATCGAAGGCGTGAAACAAGCCTGGAAAACAACATCAAAAACACAGATATATTAGATAATATTTATACAAAATCTTTGAAGTGGGCTGTATTTGCTGGTGAGGGATTGTATTGCAAAGCCTAATGACTTACATAGGGCCATGATGATCTTATTTATAGATTCATGCACTTAATACCCCCCATGAGACATGTGATAAGTACAGGTAAATATTGTCTTACCTTCACTCAGTGAGGCATGGATGGGAGGAGAAACAAGAGGGACAAAGGTTTCCAAGTCAAAGCGGCCGGTTCTGGACTGGGCTTTCAGCAGCCAGTAGCGCTTTTCCAAGTCTATAATATCTGACTCCTCCACTGGAGGATATAAAACAGAGGAAGCCAAAGTCAAAAATACATATAATACATATACACATTGTACATGTATGTAGCATGATGTAATAATGTAATGAAATAGCTAAAGATCCCCTCCAGACATGGTTTCAGACATAAATACAAATAGTCTTCTTGGAACAATAATGTGTGTCTGATCCATTTTTCCTGCAAAAAAGGGATCATTTTTGCATTAAAACCTCCAGAATCTCTGAATATGCAAATGTGTTTCTAAAGTTTTCCTGCCTGGACACAACGATGTCTCCTCCTTCAAGCTGCTAAAGTCCATTTCTCACGTGATGTGCACTGGTGGCTTCAATTTCTACATCACACTTTACGGAGATGCATACTGGACCATGGACTGACTTCCTAACTATTTATGATCGTCACAATTCATGAGCTGGGTAGGCCCCCCCGCCCCTTAAAATCAGATGTTCAATGAGCACAAGAGAACTTTCCACTTTCAGCAGCATGAATGTGAAAACATCCCTAGTGTCAAACTCTGCACATTGAAGATCAAACATCACACTGTTGCAACAACAAGTTTTTGTGTGTGGAGGGGGCCTTTAATGTAATATTGCTGATCTGTTACCTTCTATAATGCATAAAAATGGAGAAAAGTATAAACTACACGGTATAATGAATAATGAAAAAGGTCCTTTAGTGCAGAGCAGCAAGAAAATATGTGAACAACAGGGCCTGCTTTCATCAAGGACTGGTGCTGGTGACTGGTGGGTAGAGAGCTGTTATGGCAGTGTGGGAGTATGGAGAACAACAGTGACACCACCCCTACACTCTTCATCACACAATAACTGCTGGAAGAAAAGACACCCTGTGGTGCTCAGCAGAGCACCTTAGGGGAAATTAGCTTAGTCTTCTCAGCCTGACCAGAGTGTGGTGAAGGGGGTGGAAGGTGTTTGTCATGAAAACCAACAGCTTGGTCAGCATTCCACTCTCTGCAGTCACTGGCTTCAGTTTTATTAGCTATGAGCTGGTTTAGCCTCATGGCACTGTCCATCTTCACACCTCCTCTAACACACTATAGTATACTAGACATTTTTCATTTTCTTTAACATGAATTTCTTAAATTTCAGCAAAATAAATATAAGCAGTAAGTGCAGGTTTCAATGAACAACCTTTCTACAGATATATTCAAGAGGATGCAACCAATTAAATAAATATGTAACATTCCATTGCTGCTTTCCTCCTATGAGGAGCAATTTGTCTCATTATTTTAATGACCCAACCCTGTGATGTTTTAAGAGCTGAAATGATTAGCCAAATAATCAATTGTCCTTTCCTACGCCACGTCCCTCTGGCAACTTCCTCCTTTCCTGTACTTAGATATGATATGTGCTTGTCTATACTGAAAAGACAACCACATTTCAAAGATGGTTAAGAGATTAAAGCGGCATATGTCACTTTTATCTTTTAACAGTCAGTAACAAAATTTAGTTAAGATATACTAGCACATAGCATATCTAAGTACAGGGTAGGAGAAACTTGACTGAGCCTTGCTCAGCTGTTGCAGTCTGAACACGGTCAACATTAATCAAAAAAACATAAACAAAGTAATCGATAAGGAAAATAATTGTTTGCTGCAGCCAAAGTGGAACTACCCAAGGTAAATAATGCAACAATAAAAAAAATGAAGTAACCTATTTATACTGTTGTTAATTAGAGCACTTACATGTTCTGACCTAGTGAGGAGCAGAGTAAACATGATAGCAGTCATGATACCACAGCAAACCCAAGGGGGTTACATAATGGCTACTGGGTGGATCGTGTTGAACTCAACTTGTAATCAAGTGATACGGATCAGACCAATATAGAATAGAAACCTCTGCCAGGGTCAATGAACCAGCCTCCCCTTTCAACATGGTAATCCACAGCTTAGGGTAATAGGATTCAGCAGCTAGACAGCTAGCCTTTGGCATGAAGCCAATATGTATGACAGGTGTCAAAAGACGGGCAAATCAAATGACAGTCAATTCCTGGCACAAAGTGGACTTTGGCTTCCCAGTTGGGCTATTAAAACAACCTTCCTGAAAGCTCGTTTTTAGCAGCTACTGGTCACAGTTTCCAGTCAGATGGGATGATGGTGGTTGTGGTCGGCTGGCCCTGGAGAATGGCACTGTCTGAGAGGGGTGTTCCTCTGTCATCCAGGTCCAGTGGTGAACATCAGGACAGTTAACCTTGGGATGACTGGGAAGCACTCAATCACCTTTTACTGCCTCTGAGCAACTCTGCTTCCTGGCTAAGACTTTTAAACTTAAACAGACTAAAAGGGAGCACCGAGTACAAAATCAATGATTCAGAATGTAAGGGGGACTATATGGAGATGGCATGGAGGAAATAATATGAAACTGATAAATTATTGAGTATTATGGACGAAAGCAGGGAGCGAGCACTAGAGACTCATGACTACCTTTTTGTCTCAAAGCTCAGTTGGACATTGCCAACTCAACAAAAAACAGGGAAGAACACTTCCTGAGCAATAATCATAAAACAAGCACACGCTCACCCACGCACTGTGTATCAAGCTCAATATCAGTAAATTGTATGGAATGGTACTGTAGCTTTTTGAATACATCCATGATTAGCCCTGGTGTACAAGATGGAAAATAAATACATGTGTTCATCATGCTGAACATTCCTCATGACAGCTGTGCTAACTTCTGACTGCTATTCCATAAAACTCATTACCCCAACTATGGATCGCCTCCTGCACATCTTCCATCCATTTAAGGGTCGCTCCCTGCTTCTATACACATCAGTAAAGTGCTTGAGGTTACATCAGTGTCACTCTTTGCTGGATTTGAAATCTTTATAATTATGACAGACCTCCAAATCTGACTTTGGCAGTCTCTGAATGCTTAAGGATCTTAAATGCATTAAATGCCTAAAGATTTCCACTCCTGCCACTCTTAAGATACAGACCATCAAGGGTCTGTTTGACTCTTCAGCCACAGGTCTTTAAGCAAACACTGCTAATATAGATTTCCCGAAAAGCACTATATGCCTCACAAGCAGGGCTGGGTATCCACTGACATTTTTCCCAATACTACTGCCAATACGATACAGTGCTGATACCTAATGGATAGTATCCTAATGTTGACTGAACTCAAACAGCCATTCAAGAACTAAAAAATAAAATGCAGTGTAAAATTGGCTATTTGATCAAAAGTTAGAAAAGACAAATAAAAAATATAAATTCCAATTTATTTCTCTTTAAACCAATGACAAAAGTCAATCAGATGAAGCAGCCTTTTTTATTAATTAACAAACCGCTCGATCAACTGCTGTTCCAGTAGTGACCATGAATGACAATCACAAGGTATCTGACATTAAAGAACAACACTGGACACAAATGACTCTGAATTTACTGGATCTGTCTCTATGGCAGGTGCCTTGCCTGGCCTGATACCCACCTAAAGGTGCGACTCTCTCCGAGTGGCAGCAGAGATACCATACCATTATCCAGGGAACATCCTTAGAGAGGGGCTGCCACAGCCAGCATGTACCATAACAAACTCCCCTTGTGTTAACCGCTCACAGAAACTACGTAATCCTGTCCAGAGGGCTGTTATTCCCACACATTGCTACTTTCATAATATTGTGACAGCATCTAAGGCTAGCAAGTTAGCAGAGGATTCACAGTGCTAAGCCCTGCCATGAGTCAAGCCCTACGTTCTTGTTCTGGAAAGAGTCATGAACCAGGAGTGTGTCAGTCACTCTCTCTCTCTCTCTCTCTCTCTTTCTTCAACACACATAGTTAAGAGGATAAGCTGGGCAGATTAAAGGCAGCATCCAGGTTCTCTTGACAGGCCAGGTTCTTTCCAGCCCTCTGTCCTTAATTGGCAAAATAAAGCCTGGCTAAATTTACTTGGCCTGCAACTTTAAAGAACTGCATCACTGTATGTTTTTAATTTTCCATGTGTTATAATAGATCACATCTTCGTTGTAACTTTTGGATTTACAAATCTAAATCTCTAAATGTCCCAACAAAAGGTCTGTCAAACAAAAAGTGGAAGACACAATTCAGAAATATAATTTCTGTTCCCTAATCTCCGATCTAAAAACATGTTACTGCTGGGTATTGTTTGAAATATTTTAACTGGTACTGTTACAATCACAGACTTTTGTAACAGATGTTAGGACTTTTTCTCTCCTGAAATCATTGGGACACGTCAGCTCAGGGTATCTGAGTGATGTAACAGTGCTCTCTTTTCCTCAAATTTAAAATCTGTATAGCTCACTGTGTGGAACTCATTGGGAACTTTTTGATGTAAGTCAAAATGAGGTCAGGGATTGCTGTGGCACTAAAAGCTAAGTTGGCCTCTGTCCTGGCTGACAGAGGCCTGGCTAAACCACTGAATTTTATAATGAAATTGACAAAAAATTATGTGGATCGGTCACACCATGGCCAATTACTTAGCCAATTTCAGAATAAGTATATAACTGGATTATAAATACTGATGCATTAAAGTATACAGTAAGCACTACTAATGTTGCAGTTGACAGAAGTAAAGCTAATTTTAACTATATATTTTCTTCCAGGCAGCTTAATCCATAATGTATAAATTTTAAGTTTTTTTTATAAGTTTTTATTCAGTATTTAGTTTTAATCTGAATCTGTACGCTAACTAAAGTTGTCCATGTAGTGGAGTAAAAAGTACAATACTTTTTATGACTTTTTTGAAATGCTGGTATACCATTTTCTTTAAAAACAGTATTTTTTCAGTACCATTTTCAGTTCCTTAAAAAATGAAAAAAAAATAAAGAAATGACTTGAGAACAGTTCTGAACAGGTTGTGCAGCACAGTCCAACAGCTGCACTTTGGGTCCACAGGTGCCATATTTACCTCATTACCTCCGATAGTTTCCCCACTAGAGTAACATTATTGTCATTTTCTACCTTGGTTGGAACTATTAAGACCGCAGTCAGCAGCAATGTATGTCGTTTTAAAAGAAAGAGCTAACTCTGTATACTGACATCAATGTTCATTATCTTCCACTATCACAAAGGTTAATAAATAAAAGAAAAAGATTGTGTGTGGAATTGATACACTTTCCAAGGTTGTTTTAATAGAATAAAGAAACCACCTTGGAAAAAAAGAAATTATAATTGATCTCCATGTCAATTAGCTTGTTGAGCAGCTGAATGCCACCCAGGGCTTCCAGTAATTTCATTAATCCTTAACATTAAACAACAATAACACAAACCACTCAGATTCTTCAGTTACTTAAAGTCAACCTTGGCATTTGAAGCTTACATAAAAGAAACATGACTTTCACAGCTATGAAGGACCACATTAACTAGTGCAGTCTGCATGGTGGAGTGTGACCGAGAGGAAGTGGATATAGAAGGCAGCAGTAGGAGGAGAGAGACCTAGGTGAAGGAGGGATGGAATAATGAAAAAGGAAAACTGAGTGAAAGGAGGAGAGAGAATGAATGAGGGTGATAAGTCGAGCCTGTCAGTCATTGCCTGGGGTGCTAAGTGCCACTGATTGAGAGGGGTGTGAACAGCAATGCAATGACTTCATCTAAGCTTTAACAACTGTTGTGAGCCATTTGTGGTATTTCCTGAGACATCTGCACTCTACAAGGGAGGCAGAAGGGGGGAAGATGCAGCTGGGCAACTATCTGCTTCATCACGAAGATGTGGCAGAAAGAAGCACAGTCTTGGACTGTAGCAGGTCCCTGTTAAAGCCATACGTATTTTGAAGTCCTAGCAGTGGATTTATAGCCGACAATTGAATTTGCTCCAACATTTCCAACATGTTTACTTGATGTCTTAGTCATTCTATCAGTACAATCAGTACAAAGCCAGTCACGTCATACTCACTCTGCTGCCCTTTTTAACAGAAATAATGTTTTCATTGGCTATTTAGTTCTACTTAGCAGTTGCTTTGATCAGTGTTAAGCTACTGCTATTTAAACTCAAAAAATGGATTCCAAAGTTTATCTGAAGCTAATATGAGCCTTCAGCAGTCTGAGTTAGACAAATCAAAGTTGCTGTCTTTCTAGAGGAAAGTCCCAGCTGAGCTGCAGTGAAAGGATAGGAACGTAAAGAGTGAATTCTGTACTAAAAAGGCTGCAGCTTTGGAAGATATGCACTTAGCTTTAAAATAAACTTTAGAATACATGTTTGGACAAAACAAGAACTGTGGATTTTGTCCCCCTTCACTTCCATGGAAAGTGCTTGAGAAAGGGATCTTTTAATGTCCAGTATGAACAAAAGGAATGATTACAACAAGAAAAAACTAATTTTCATATTGGCACCTGACTACTGTTTTAAAACAGACTAAGACAGACAGACAGGATTTGTGAACCTATCCTATAAGCTTTCCTCCCTTTTCTGGTAGGTTTTTAATGAAAAAAAAACACCTGCAAAAAAACATTTAGTTTCGTTGACAGTAGCATAACGTCAATCACAAAAATCGCAAAGTAAATGGAATTAATTAGTGAATAAGAATAGTAGGGCTGTACCCGACTCAGAATTTTGTCTGCTGAATCAGGATTGGCTGTTCAATACAAAGATTCAATGATTTGTTGTTTTTGTTGTTCTTTTATATCTGCAGTTCCTGCAGTGGCCATGCGCCTGCATGAGTTTTAGCCTACCTCACGTTTTTATACATTTCTGGTGTAAAAACATCAGATTTCCACACAGTTAGAGACAGTAGAAGTGTGCGTCCTGCTCATACAGTTAAAAAGTCCTGGTGCACCTTGCAGCGTCTCTACTGCTGCTGACAGTGCTGTCAGTGCTGTCATCAATGGAAGATGGACCACTGTGTGGTTCAAAAATGGTTATGCCGTCTTTACTAAGAGTCAGCAGTGGAGCGGAGAGTGTCGGAGCAGCCGCTGCCCGTTTGTGGTCATTTTGAGACTGGCTTTGTAAGGTTTACATCCTGCCATGCTGTTGTTGTGTATACAATGACACAGCTAAAACAGTGCAGAGATTCAGATGACAAAATGCAGGGTCACCCTAGAGAACAGTAACTTGTGCTACTCAGAGAAGATTGGTGAGCATGAGAGGACTCTGTTGTACTGATGGAAGTAGTGCTGTGGGGAAATGTGCATAATGCTGAGTTTACCATGTGAGACATTACAGTTCAGATATGCCAAGCATATATTAGTGACTGGCCATTACCTGAAGAATGGCTTTTATTTAGGACAGGTTATTAACTACTTGAGCATGAACATCAAACATATTTGCCTATGGGGACATGCAATATATGCAAGCACATTGATTCAGGGTGTGTTTTTGGGACTTACAGTGCGTGACGCCTGCCAGGGTCTGGTAGAAGGTGGGTGTGTCGCTGTCATCGGTGAGTGTGACACACACTCCTCCAGACAGAAGCCATCTGGACAAAGTGAAGGCCTCCTTGTTCTGTAGGAGCCAGTTTCTGAAGCGCTCATAGTTGACCTTGTCACCCTGCCACAACACACACACACAGCATTTAGTTGCTGCTATTGCAAATTTACTAGTGCTGCAGCTTTACAATATAATAATATTTAATTTTTTTAATTTAATAATAATATTTTACATTATAATATAAATATTTAACTGAAAAAACACAAGCTGACCTTTATTATGAAGTAATCGTAAACAGGAAATGCTATGTGACAACAAGACAAAAGCCATTTCCAGCATGTTTTGCCAGCAGATCAGTTGCAAATATTGCAGTGAGTAATGGAACAAGAAAGAGCAGCCACAGTGAGCTTTTAGAGGAAGAGCTGTGGGTAGCAGGCTGCAACTGCACTCTTTCTCAGCCAGGTTACCAAAGATACTTCACAGACTCACGCTGTGTGCAGCATGAAATCAGATCACTGTTGCTTATAGAATGATAGAAAACAATTAATTATTACCTGACTACTTTATTAAAACCACAATTGTTTGTTTAGCTGTCCACAGAATAATGTGACCTTTAGTATTAAACCGCATTTAACCACAGGTGTCACATGCACAATGATGGTGCAACTGCGTAATAGCATCAAAACCAGTTAAAGGTGATTAATATTTCCTTCTAACCTTGGTTCAGGTAGCTGGTGAAAATAAAGCAAATTTAGAAGGCTACATTTATAGGCTACTTATTATTAATCTGATCTATCAGGCTTTTTATTATACAGTACTTTCCAAAGTTGTTTGTGGTGGGTTGTGATTTGAAAGGTCTTTTTGTATTCTAATAACCAGTACAATAACTCTCTGTGATGCCAAACTTTGCATTATCCAACAATAGCTGTTTTCTGAGCATGTGACAAACACCTCTGTAATGATGACAACAAACTCATTGATGAGCCAAGGAGAGAGTGTGGGCGATATGCAAGTTATCATTCTGAAGCTCACTTGTTATTACCAAGTCCAGAGTGAGTTACAGGCACATTTGACTAGCATGGTTGTAAATGTTCACGTGTGTATCAATGTGGCGTTTGCTGACCTCACTGAAGCACTTCTTGAGGGAGGCTGGGACTTCTCCATCCAGGACCTGCAGAACTGCTTCTATATCTTCCCTTGCAGCGTATCCACCCAGATCGCTGGCAAACAGGCTGAAGAGGTCTGTGAGCGCACACACGGGCGCATACATACACACACACACACACACACACACACACAGAGTCAGAAGAGAGTTAAGCTTTATCACAGGAAGGCAGGCCTCTTTCACGTAGCTGCAGTTAGGACGATACAAGCTACAATGTCAATAGCGTCCTGATGGATTAGACTGTCTGCAACACATCAAGCACAACTATCAGAATAAGTATAAGGAAAAGACAGAGAGACACACGGGGATAGAGACAGACAGAGAGAGATGAAGAGGCTTGTAGAATAGCAGGACAGAAATGTTGGTTGTTAAATGATTAACTAAGTCAAATTATAATAGTATCTGTCTAAAAGCTGCATTTCCACCCAAAGTACCCAAGAAAGGTTCCTTTAGCCCATTGTTGTCTGTGTTTCCTCCCAGTGAAGATTATGCAGATTAGTCCGCTGCGATATGAAAAAGCAACGGCTGTTTTTACACGAATTATAGCACACACATTTAACAACAAGGCCTGGCTCCATGGTAAATTACTTCACTTTTATCGCGCCTTTCTAGTCTTCCAGCCACTCAAAGCGCTTTACACCACATGCCACACTCACACGTATTCATACAGTGAAAAAAACAAACACAAACTAAGACTCATTCAAACACCAATGCACAGCATCGGGAGCAATTTTAGGGTTAAGTATCTTGCTCACTTGGACATGCAGTGGGAGAAGCTTAGGAACCTTTTGATAAATGGACAACCCGCTCTACCTCCTGAGCCACAGCCGCCCCTGTTATATGATTTCTTCTGTAGCTCCATGTTGATGTGTAAAAGCACAATGAAGAAAAAACAGCGGCTGCAGATTTTTTACATATGGTGGCTGAAATAAAATGCTGCGAGTACTCAACCTTTTTGGGGGGTAAAATAATGTCCCAATAACTTAATTTTGACCCTGGTCCCTGTGGTAAAAAACATGTTCCTCTAAAGGTTCCTAGTCCCTGGGGAAAGTTCCTATAGTGGAAACACGGCTTAACATACAAACAGAAAGAGCCCCTTCCAATTGATAGTTAGCTGTAACTGTGGAGTTATTTTGGGCATGTAGATTTCTGGAAAGTACAAGTCCTGTTTATTTTGTACAAGGACAGTGTGAGGTGACTGAGAGTTGGAGTATTTTTAAAAGGCATGGAACTCTCCTGGTTGAATCAACAGTACAAAACATGGGCACTTGTTATATCACTTTTTTAATGAGAGGCATGTGGATAACATAAGTAGAGATGGAAAAACAACTCGCAAGTTGCTTTTTGCCACAAAACATCCAGTCACAGAGCTTAAAAATCTGTTCGGAGCACTCTTTAGGGACGTAAAACATGAAGATTGCACTCTGTAGAAACCCAGTAACATTTAGCAGGGGTATGAATTGGCAAGAATCTGGCCATACAATACGTATCGCAAAACAGGGGCTACCATTCAATATACTGTAATCAAACAGATATATTGTGATTTTTTTTACATCTAATTTTAGTCGTAGTCATGCCTCTTATTAAAAACGTGATATAACAAGTGCCCATGTTTTGTATTGTAACATTAAAATATTCTTAATCTATCCATCCACCATGCCAAACTGAAAAAAACATGATTTTTCAGAGACAAAATCTAAATAATTAAGACCATAAACCTATAGTATAAAATGATCTCTCTCTCTCTCTCTCTCTCTCTCTCATATATGTTATAAGGAGTTCGGTCTAGACCTGCTCTATATGAAAAGTGTCCTGCGATAACTTCTGTTATGAATT